TCTATTAGTGGGGGAGCGTCACCTGCTGGGAAACGGGTCCAGCGTCCCTTGAAAGAACAATATCTTGAGAAGGTGAGAACAGTGAGAACAGTGACTTGTGGGATCTGCCAGCATTGATTACCCTGCAAAACAGGGGATTGACTCAAATGTGCAAAATGAGAATGAATTTTTCGCTTGCACATGCGAAGGTGCGCCATAAGAGATTTTCTCTTGTGTGCACGTGGTGATTGGTGGAGAGAGACCTTTAGCTGAAAGATTTGTGACAATTTATATGAAAAGTCCATCAGTTTCCCTACGCTACATAACCGTTACTTCGCACCACCACCTCGCAGGGGACAACCATGCAGTACCATGCGAAGACGATTCTTGCAAAAGACTCTTCGTCTGACAGAAAGGGCATCGCCACACCCTCTCGAAATGCGCAAAATGAGAATGAACTTCGTCGCAGAACATAGCCAGATGCACCCGCCACATTTTTGTCTTTTCCACATTTCGAGAGTGGTGTGGCGAGGCCCAAACAGTTGTGGCATGCCACAATCTTGGAGCAGGCAGACGCGAGCACAAAAAGCAGGCAAGACAAAAGTCCAATGCAATAGCCACAGCAGAACAAAAAGTGCAAAAGAACGCAGGAAAAAAAAAAAAAAAAAAAAAAGAGGAACTGTTCTCTGTAGTGCCCACAATGGCTCTGAGAGGGTCTACTTGAGTTTGCTTACCTTCTTTCTTTCTTTCTTTCTTTCTTTCTTTTTTTTTTTTTTTTTTTTTTTTTTTTTTTTTCTTTTTTTTTTTTTTTTTTTTTTTTTTTTTTTTTTTTTTTTCACTTACTATCATTTCTATGTTTCCTTTTTTTTCCCCTTTCTGGTTACCCGACAATGGTTCTGAGAGTGTCCGACGTGACGACTCTGCCTACCTTTCTTTCTCTGTTTCCCTTATTTTCCCGGTTCTGGTTACTTGCAGTTCCTTTCTCCTTGGATGACCCTCTGTACTCGGTTGCACGTTCTTTCTCCACGTGTGGGTCTGCAACCTGGGCCAAGGCCCCACCCCTCTATAGCCAACTGATTGTCTGCAACGCGGCATCCGCAAGAAAATATAATTTTCGGGATGGTAAGAATGATATCTGACTGTCTCTCTGACAATCATTTGACTGTCTCTGACGTTTTTGGAGGACTCGGACGTCCCGTAAAGGGCCGTAAGCCAATGAACTCAAGAAACTGGAAAAGCTTCGTTCACCAAGCTATTTTGAAGCTATTTGTCTTTATAAAAGCAAGTGGGAAAAAAGAGCTGATTGCTCCTGTAGGACCTGTAATGTAAATGTCAGGTACTATCCGTATGATCTCTCCTGCAATGTGAGAGGCTGGCGTGCTCCTTTTCTTTGTAGATGCTGTCCTGCAGCTCTTTGAAGCACAAGTATCTTTCCCAGCTAATTTGTTCTGTTGCGGCGATTAACATCGTCGTTTCGGGTCCGAAATGGCTGGCGGGACTAGATGAACGGGGACATAGAAATAGAATGAGCCCGCACCTGTTCCTTTTCTCTGCTTGGCGTGCAGCAGACATTCGCATCGGGAAAAAGAGGCTCGGAGATACTAGTGTTTTAAATATGACCCTGAAACATTTGTCAGTGGATCATTGCCGTTCCAATGGATGGGTAGCACTATAGGATTATTCTGTAGCTTTGCGTGCCGTTCTAAATTTACTACGTCTATGCGTGCGAACCCGCACCTCAAGCTGTTAACGGGGCCGGCTCCTAAAGCAACTATCCCTCGGCTCGACACCTTCCTCAAGAGAGAGTATGTCCGCTTTAGGTCAAACCTCCGCTTTCCTATCCTCCCTTACCAAAGGTGGGTTCGATGAAAAAGGTTGAGGCGAGGCTAGGAATGGGGGTCGTTTGGACGGGTGCAGAGGAGATGGGTCATTCAGGCTAGGATGGGCTCCCTTCGGAAAATGGGCTAAGGTTCAGTTGCCTTTGACTTCTTTTGTTATCGCCGTTTCCTGTTTTTCCGGCGCCCGTTGCGGCGTTGCCTTAGCTCGTTCCGCCGCAATCCCACACGGCAAATAGGTTCTTAGGAAAGACATCGAGAAACTCTTCTTTTTTTACGATCATATCAACGTGCGTGGTCATGTCCTCTTTTTTCCCGCAATCGCAGTCCTACCCGCCTTGAGTGTTTTGAAGAAAAAGTATTCCGGCTCACTCAAGAAAAGTCGAGACCAAGTCAAGAAGAGAAGTCTTCAGCAAGCAAAGATGTTTGGTCCACAACTTTGCCCGAAGCGCAAATGGGTGAATATCCCAAACTCACTCCCAACCAGTCTACTTCTCCACCGACCTCCTTTGCAGACGTCAATTCTTGCTTGATGCCACCACACCTCGATTAGTGCACTCCTGTAGAAAGCTAGCTCCTCCCTCTAGCCAGGTCACAGCACTCCAGCCAACTTTTCTTGAGGGGTATTGAACTCCGACTATAGCTTCCTGGCTTTGGCCACCAGCTATGGCTGCCAAGCGTCCTTTCACATTGCCTGCAGACCTCCAACACTCCCCCCTTGATGGAGACTGCAGTCCAACCACTAGGACAGGGTCTTTCCCAGTCTTCGCTATGGCTGGCGTGGCCAACCCTCAGTCCAGCAGCACCTCCCCACAATCTGCAGACCTCCGCTCCTTCCAGCAGCGTCTCATTCTTCACCAGCAGACGTCCACTTCCTCCAACAGTATCTCCTCACAGCAAGCTCTCCCACAATGTGATGCAGCATCCCAAGCAACACTCAGCTGAGTCTGAGTGTGGGCAGCATCACAGCCCCAACATTGTGAGGCAACCGTGGGAGCAGCCAACTTTTTTGGTTGTTGGAGACTGTGTGAGCAGCCTCGTGCCCACATATACAAATTTGAAATCCTCCTGAGCCCTTGATCTGAAACCAAGATCAAGGGCCATAGGCATTGATTTTCCCCTAGGGGAAACAAGTGCCTCCAAAGTCTAATGCACCTGGGCTTTTTCCCAGGCCGTGTGCGTCAAGGAGAGGCTGGACCAGGCTTTTCCTCGTAGCACTGCGCCAAACACAACAACTCCCCTCACCTATGCACCTTTCCCACGTTCACGCCTTCCCCTTACTTCGTTTTTTTTTTTTTTTTTTTTTTTTTTGCTAGGGAGAGGGGCTCCGTCTATTGGTGGGGAGCGTCACCTGCTGGAAAGCGGGTCCAGCGTCCCTTATACAGACCGTCAAAATGAAATACATCAGATCATAGTTTGAGAGGGTCCTGCCAGCATTGATTGCCCTGGCGTCCAGGGGATTGACTGCGCAGGATGTGGGAAAGA